CTGATTCTACCTCTGTCACTGACACCTGAAAGAGTACTGAGGCTCCGAAAGCTTGTGTTTTGAAATCAACCTGTTGGACTATAATTTGGTATTGTGTGATTTCTGACCTTATCCATGCAAATTTCCTTATTTGGCATCCATTCCAGTACAGTGCCCCCTAGAGGGGATTGGCAAGCAGGGGCACTGACAAAAAGTCTCACCAACCAACCAAATTGAAAAATCTTTACACACAGATCACAAGCTTGGAAGTGAGAAACAAGAAAGGTAAATTAGATTAGATGTGCAAAAAAACAAAATACAGCCTGGGGAATACAACTAAGATTATGGGAGAAGGGGATAAAAGAGACAGAGATAGTAAAAGCAAGTTATTTTGATTTTGAATTTTTTAACAGTCTCCAACTTTTTTTTGGGAGCACATGAAATAGAAGCAGTAGTAGACCATTCAGCCTCTGTCATGTTTGTAATTTTCAAGTGACTGTTGCAACTACATTATGTTATTGCAAAAAAACTACCTTAAATCCAGTAGGTTATTGTAACAAGCGATATTCGGTCGAACAAATCTACAGTGACAGATTATTCTAAAAGCATAATCTTTCTACCACAAGCAGCAATGACCACATATTAAAAAAAAGTATCTGCATAAAATATATGTTTAAAAATATTAAAATTCCCACTGTATTTCTTGTCTTACTGGGTAATCAGAACTGACAGTTTGTGTTGGTGCACTGTACAACTGGTTCTCACCACCAAATTGGTGAAACTACAAACTGAATACAGAAAAAAAGTCATTATGTTCAGATAACTTATAAGTAATAAATTACACACTCAAACTGCCTTTGAATATAGGCATTCCATGGTTAATATGTTGATAAACTAGGTATTTCGGCCCTCACATACTTCCTCGTAACACTTGAGTATGTTTTGAACCAACATTTTTATGCACTTTTGACTTATTTACAATTTTTAACTTGTTGATAATGCTACTTTCACGTGCTGTTTTGTTATCCTCACTAATTAACTGCACTGTTATTTTGTCAGTGCTAATTCCTTGATGCAGTATCGATTGCCCTCCAGTAACCTCGCCAAGCCATTTTTGAGCTCAACAGTGAGTGCTGACAAGCAATTTGACAAAAAGGGCCCCACTATAGAGCCTAGTACTGTTCTCAAGCAATGTTCACACATGCATTTTCAATGGAGCTGTTGAACAGCAAATAGGATGAAGAACTGTGGTAAAAGCCCCTTTGTTGGGCCAGATATGCTGATGCTACATGTGCACCACAACTGATTTGGCGGAGATCAACTAACTTAGCAAAGGCCAGCAATTGAACGTTAAACCATCTTGTTGTGTGTGGCCAAACTACTCACTGGATAAATTCAAGGAGACCTTGGAGGAAGCTGCTCCATTCCAGTTCAAGCTCATTTTGAACTTCTGTTTTTTCTTAGTCAAGCCATCAATCAGATCAATGTTGTCTCTTTCAGTGCATTGAGCACTGATTATGTGAAGGACGTTATTCATGCTCATATGTATAAATTGATAATGACACATTTGTCTTTTAAAACAAAACATGGGTAGCCCTTCAGTAAGGACAATCTCATGCTGCACTGTTTTGACCAAGATCCCTTTTTTTTTAAAACATAGAACAGTACAGCACAGTACAGGCCCTTTGGCCCACGATGTTGTGCCGACCTATTATCCTACTCTAAGATCAAACTACCCTGCATACCCTTCATTTTATTATCATCCACGTGCCTATCCAAGAGTCGCTTAAATGTCCCTAATGTATCTGACTCCACTACCACCACTGGAAGTGCATTCCACATACCCACCACTCTCTGTGTAAAGAACCTACCTCTGACATCTCCCCTATACCTTCCTCCAATCACCTTAATATTATGCCCCCTCGTAATAGTCATTTCTGCCCTGGAGAAAAAAGTCTCTGGCTATCCACTCTCTCTATGCCTCTCATCATCTTGAACAACTCTATCAAGTCACCTCTCATCCTTCTTCGCTCCAATGAGAAAAGCCCAGCTCCCTCAACCTTTCCTCATAAGACCTGCCCTCCAGTTCAGGCATCCTGGTAAACCTCCTCTGCACTCTCTCTAAAGCTTCCACATCCTTCCTATAATGAGGCGACCAGAACTGAACACAATATTCCAAGTGTGGTCTAACCAGGGTTTTATAGAGCTGCAGCATAACCTCGCGGCTCTTAAACTCAATTCCCCTGCCAATGAAAGCCAACACACTATATGCCTTCTTAACAACCCTATCAACTTGGGTAGCAACTTTGAGGGATCTATCGTCACGGACCCCCGGATCCCTCTGTTCCTCCACACTGCCAAGAATCCTGCCAATAACCCTGTATTCTACATTCAAATTTGACCTTCCAAAATGAATCACTTCACACTCTTCCAGATTGAATTCCATCTGCCACTTCTTTGCCCAGCTCTGCATCCTGTCAATGTCCTGTTACAACCTATAACAGGCCTCCACACTATCCACAACTCCACCAACCTTCGTGTCATCGGCAAACTTACTAACCCACCCTTCCACTTCCTCATCCAAGTCATTTATAAAGATCACAAACAGCAGAGGTCCCAGAACAGATCCCTGTGGAACACCACTGGTCACTGAGCTCCAGGCTGAATCATTTCCATCTACTACCACCCTCTGTCTTCTATTGGACAGCCAATTCTGTATCCAGACAGCCAAATTTCCCTGAATCCCATGCTTCCTTACTTTCTGAGTGAGCCTATCATGGGGAACCTTATCAAATGCCTTGCTAAAATCCATATAAGCCACATCCACTGCTCTGCCTTCATCAATGTGTTTTTTCACATCCTCAAAGAATTCAGTAAGGCTTGTGAGGCATGACCTGCCCCTCACAAAGCCATGCTGACTATTTCTAATCAAACTATGCTTTTCCAAATAATCATAAATAGTGCCTCTCAGAATCCTCTCCAATAATTTGTCCACCACAGAAGAAAGACTGACTGTTCTGTAATTCCCAGGATTATCCCTATTCCCTTTCTTGAACAAGGGAATAACATTTTTCACCCTCCAATCATCTGGTACTACTCCAGTGGACAGTGAGCATGCAAAGATCATTGCCAAAGGCACAGCAATCTTTTCCCTTGCTTCCCGTAGAAACCTTGGGTATATCCTGTCTGGCCCAGGGGACTTATCTATCCTCATGTGTTTCAAAATTTTTAGCATGTCCTCCTTCCTAACATCAACCTGTTCGAGCATATCAGCCTGTTTCATAGTGTCCTCACAAACATCAAGGTCCCTCTCACTGGTGAATACTGAAGCAAAGTATTCATCAAGGACCTCCCCTACCTCCTCTGACTCCGCACACACGTTTCCTCCACTATCTCTGATTGGCCCTATCCTCACTCTAGCCACCCTCTTGTTCCTCACATAAGTGTAGAATGCCTTGGGGTTTTCCTTAATCCTACCTGCCAAGGCTTTTTCATACCCCCTTCTAGCTCTCCTAAGTCCATTCTTCAGTTCCTTCCTGGCTACCTTGTAGACTTCTAGAGCCCTGACCGATCCTTGCTTCCTCAACCTTAAGTAAGCTTCCTTCTTCCTTTTGACTAGATGTTCCACATGCCTCGTCATCCAAGGTTCCTTCACCTTACCATCTCTTCTTTGCCTCAGTGGGACTAACCTATCCAGTACTCCTAGCAAGTGCTCCCTAAACAACCTCCACATTTCTGTTGTGCATTTCCCTGAGAACATCTGTTCCCAATTTATGCTCCACAGTTCTTGCCTAATAGCATGATAATCTGCCCCCACCCCCACTCAATTAAATATTTTCCCATACCATCTGCTTCTGTACCTCTCCATGACTATAGTAAAGGTCAGGGAGTTGTGATCACTATCACCAAAATGCTCTCCCACTGAAAGATCTGACACCTGGCCTGGTTCATTGCCAAACACTAAATCCAATATGGCCTCCCCTCTAGTTGGCCTATCTACATATTGAGTCAGAAATCCTTCCTGGACACACCTGACAAAATCTGCTCCAGCCAAACTGTTTGTACTTAGGAGGTTCCAGTTGATATTAGGGAAGTTGAAGTCACCCATGACAACAACCCTAATTTAATCATTTAAATTAGGTCTTCTCGTAAAGAAGGTTAGGATGTAAAATAAAAACCTAAAAGTAGAGTTTCACACTATTTGTACAGTAACTTACAAGTGTACAGAGTGAAGAGTGTTTAATCAGATACAAATATCTCTCATAATCTTGATTTGGCTCAGTAGAGTGTATTGATTGTTGGGTAAAATGATCTTGCAACAACCCAAGGGCATCATATTGTCCAACAATTCAGGCCCACTCAATAGAAGCCTACATTTTATCAGTGTCATTCTTCTTTTACTTTTAGAAATGATCAACAAGGAGCTAACTCTCACAGTAACACATAACAGTTCAGATTAAAATGTAAACGGCTGCACCTAGGAGAGTAAAAAGCACGTTAAGATAGACAGGTCATAACAAACATGTCGCTGTAGTCTTTACAACTTTGGAAAAAAAGAAATACTAACAGATACAGAAACATCCTAGCCTTAATTGGTCAAAGACAGAGTTTACTCTATCGTGAAATGAAACAGAAAGCTTATTACATTTTACTGTTTCCACATTGCTACCTGCAAAATAGTCAGTTGCTTGTAATATTGTTCCACCAGGAATTATTTAAAGATTGGCATTTAAAGAGCTCAGCTTTCTTAAAAGTGACTGATAACTTTCCAATAACTGATTAAAAACACACTTTCATGCAGTAACATTTTTATAGCACACACTTCATTGGTTTTACTCAAATCTAAATTCACCTTTCCTCCTCAGCTCAAATTGCTATCTTAAACAATGGTTGTTTACATACCTTGATTGAGAAGAAAGGATATATATTACCGCACAATGATATTTGCTGACTGATCTGTGCTTTTGTAAATTATTTTGAAAAAAGGATAGCTCAATGTAGACAAGAAAATAAGACCCTACCTGAACATCTCACTCCCTGAGCAATTAGACCCCACATAAAGTTGGCACAGTATTCACACCAGTGAGGACCTCTGAATGTATGGACCTGAAAAACACAAAGGTGCATAAAGGAATGAAGGCTAAAGCCAGATGGTCTGACAGATGGAGCACACTGAAGTGCTGATCACAAAGCACATAGTGGGGCTCAACATATGAAACTGTCTTTACAGCACTAGGAAGCGTTACCTCCACTTTTTCACAGCTGGCCCCAAGAGAAAACTATTTTTTGTTAAACAATAGTGCTTTCTGTGCCTAGCAATTCATTTCTGCCTTAACAAACTTGCAGTGCCTTATTTTAGACTCATCATGTCTGGCTGCCAATGGTTGGTAATACTGCAGTGTATGTTGGTGTGCATGTGTGAAAGGAAACAACAGCTGGAGAAATTATTTCCATGAGAAATTGGAAGGAAGGAATGAGATAGAAATGACATTAGAGGGATGACAATGGGAAGAATTAATTTGCATAGAATGGGGACAGCATTACAGGGGAGGATGAGACAATGGATTTGGTTAATTGCAGCATGAAACTGGGGTAATTATTTGACGCAATTTGTTATACAAAAACTAAACATGAAGATTAGATTAACTCAAATGTGCATGACACTGCAAAAACCTGGACTCAAGAAAAGAACAGCTCTAACACTGCTATGAAACTTCAATCTATACAAAGAAAGCTATGGAGCAACATTGGTCGCTGGGGAGATGTTTTCTTTGATGATACATGCTAAAACTAAGAGGCACATTTCAAGAAAATTGAATCTTCAAATAATATAGTGCTCATTAGAAGTAAACCTGCCTTATCAACCCAAGGTTACAACAGTTCTCAATTAGATGTTCATATCTTATATGTATATTCAAGTCACAAGGCCAGGCTCAAAAAAATTCTATTTATATTGGCGGGACAATTTTTATATATGAACAGCTTTATATAGCTTTTAGTAACGTAAGAAGTTTGGATTCTGTTAAAGTCTTCTGTGAAAGAATGAATAAAAATCTTGTAGTTAAACAGTTGCCATTGCAATAAGCACACTAATTCGAGACAAGTGTGTTGGGTATCTGCTGGTATCCCATAATTCCCTTAGCACCCAAAAATCTATCAATCTCTGTTTTGAATAGACATAAGCGACTGAAACCTGCAGCCTTCCAGGATAGGCAATTCCAAAGATTCACAATCATTGAAGTGGAAACAAATTCTCCTCAATTTCAGTCTCAAATGGCCAAATCCTTTTTCTGAGAGTATGACAACATCTTTTGGATTTCTTAATGAGATGAGACACTTTCTTGACATCCCCGTCAAGTCAGAGGAAGTTTATGTATTTAATTTAGATCCTCTCATTATCCTAAATCTCTGGGAATATAAACTAAATCTACTTAATCTCTCCTCATAGGACAATCCCCTCACAACTCAGGAATAAATATAACGAATCTTTACTGCACTTCCTCCAGGGCTATGCTTCCCAAACATTTTGCCCACTATGACCCCATTCTGAAGCTTGGAAATTGACCCCTCAGTGAGAAACACAAGAGAAGGCAAGGAAAGGTATTGAGGGAGTGGAGCCTGTGAGATTGGGGCCTGTTTGCTTACAAGCACAGCTATTACAAACCTGGCATTGTTGCAGAGCTCGGCATAGAAAAATTTTAGCTTATGGCCCGATAATGGATCCTGACCCCTGTTTTAGGAAGTCCTGTTCCAGGGCAAGTGTGTATTTGTTTATGTAAGAAGATCAACTGCACACAATATTCCAGCTGTGACCTTACCAAAGTCCTACATAATAGCAGTTATGCTGCTTTACATTTATACTCTCAGAGGGGGAAATGGTGGCATAGTTGTCGTGTCAATGGACTAGTAATCCCAGCTAATGGCATGGTACGTAGGTCTGAAACCCACCAAAGCAGCTGGTGGAACTCAAGTTCAAATAATGGCTCTGGGATATAAAGCTGGTTATAGCACTTTCATTAATTGTTAAAAATCTGTCTGGTTCTTTTTTTTTTATTCATTCATAGGATGAGGACATCACTGGCTATGCAGCATTTATTGCCCATCCCTAATTGCTCAGAGGGCAGTTAAGAGTTAACCACATTGCTGCGGGTCTGGAGTTTCCTTCCCTAAAGGACATTAGTGAACCAGATGGATTTTTCCGACAATCGGCAATGGATTCATGGTCATCATTAGATTCTTAATTCCAGATATTTTTAGTGAATTCAAATTCCACCATCTGCCGTGGCGGGATTCGAACCCAGGTCCCCAGAACATTATCTGGGTCTCTGGATTAACAATCCAGTGATAATACCACTAGGCCATCGCTTCCCCCAACGTGGTGACACTTAGCAAGTCCAGCAGCACATTCCCCAAAAATACAGGATGGTAATGTTTTAGATATAGCCCTTTGTCAGAATTCACAAAGATTTAACAAAGTTAGATTTCTTGATCTACTGACTGTTTCTAGTATTTTAATTTAATCTTTGAAGTTTTCAGCATATTCCAGCACTTTTTTTGACTAATATCACTGCACCGCAGACTCTTCATAGGCTCAGATTATCATTTGTTTCAAATATTTATCTAATTGTTCATTAGTAAATGTACTGCTCTCCCTACAACCATTTCTTCTCCAATTGGAGTAGACCCCAAATCCTTCCCTCTTCTTGATATTTGCACAAAGCATGGTGAAGATGTGGTGATTGAAATTACCATTGGGAGTGGAGAAAATTTAATACAGCAGTTTCTGGGACAACAATTTGGCAACGGGTACCCCCATCCAGTTTTCCTTCCAATAACACTTGAACAACAGAGGAAAAAAAAAAATCAGCCCTCTTATGTTCATTACAAAGTTGAGATTTTAAACGTAACAAACCTTTAAACTACTTCAGTAACTGGATCAAATCTATCAACTCCTCAGCAGGTTTTATGACATTTACCATTCCTGCCATGGTATCAGCAGCCATTTATATGATTGGCTTCAAGAGTCACCAGAAGCAAGAAACTCAGCAGGAAGGCAACAATTAGATCTATTGACTAACTTACATTAAATGCTAACTATGTTAAGAATGTGCACAGAAGTTCATTGTCTCGACTCAGGATAACAATATGTTTTCTTTTACTTTTTTTGTAAAGGCTATAATGTGGAGAAACTAATTCTCCATTCATGAAAAATTAATTATAAAATAGAACCAACCGAAATATTGTGTAACCTGTGAACGCCAACTCTTTGGGGGCTTTTAAAACGTAGAAATGTCCAATATTGGACGTGCAGATCAAAGTAAGTGATAAACATTTAATTTTTTAAAAAAAATTAACTTGTATTATACATTGTCTTCCATCTTCTCAACAAATCTAAAATTGTTTTAATGCCAATTAATTCTCATGAAGATGTGAAGCCAAATGCAGTAGTCCATAAATGTCCATGGAAATCATCATGGGATTTCTTGCAACTAGCCAAAGAGGCATGTATGCCTCAATGTAACATCATATTTAGTATGGTACTGCTTCATGCTTCAGCTATACAAGGTGCTGAAGTGCTGATGTGAGGCTTCAACCTTTAACCTTCTTACTCAGAGGCTTAGGTGGTGCAACTGGACAAAGTTAACAGTGATAGTAGGAACTGCTGATACTGGAGAATCTGAGATAATGAGGTGTAGAGCTGGATGAACACAGCAGGCCAAGCAGCATCAGAGGAGCAGGAAAGCTGAATG